AATTGTAATCTTTCATTAACATTGGACCTTCAATGCTGCATCTATATCAGTAGCCTGAGAAGGGATTTCTTGACAGGACTGATTGGTTGTAACAGGATTGCCTACAAAAGCTCTATTAACCCATGTTGTTGTGGACTCCTTTTGTACACCCTCAACTATTGCACTCTCATTCCCAGTAATATTTTCAGCTTTTCCTTTCCTTGATGTACTCCCAATCCCAGTAGATTTAGGGGTAAAAACAGCTGCTTTAGGATTTAATCTCCCACCTGCATTAAGATTAGTAGTAGGACTACTAGGTTCAACACTTCCTTCTACCATAACCAATTGGTTATTGTTCTCCTCATCATCATCCTGAACCTCTAACATTGCAAACTTGTTAGAGGTTTGGATTTGCTGATTATTAACTACACCTGCAAGGGCCATCTCCTTCCTTGTATTAGCATCATTTTGCTGCAATTGCCCAGTAGCTATGACTATTTCATTTCTTATGTGACCTTGATCTTGTTGGACCTGCCTAGAAATTAGCACAATCTCCCTTCCAGAAATCTCAATAGCTCGATGAACACCTTCAGTAGTTTGAACCCGTTGAACACTGTTAGAAACCACTGGAACAATTTCCTTACCAGTTTGACCTTGTACTAGATTTTTCTGTGCACCATTCTTCACACAATTGTCCCTTACCTTTTTCCATTATTCTCCAATATTGCCAAATTTAATGGCGTATTATTTTTGATCGTTATTTTAGTCTCAGCTGAAATTTTCTACTTTTAGGCGCCACGTTTTGGTTTAAAGTCTCATTCTGTTTGACTATTTGAAGGTAACGATATGCATTTTTTTAGCTCGGAGCTCGATGTGCGAGTGAATCTTTTAGTAATAATATGACCTTAAATACTATGAATGAACTACAACAATTAGGATACTTATCTATGACCGCATGCTCATTCCATTGGCATCTAAAATAAAAGGAAGACAAGTAAGGCTTAGACCTATAGAAAGAATAGGAATTGGCATATTCATCTCTTGTATATCCATGTTAGTCTCTGGTATCGTGGAACATGTTCGACGAAGAAGAGCGATAAGCCAAGGGCTGTTGAACAACAACTTAGTAATAATTTGTGAAAGTATAGCTTTTTATGTTTTTGCTAAGTCGTTTGTGATATCTGGTTGCTGTTAGATTGATAGTCGATTGATTGAATTGTTTCCTCCTCTGTTCTGGTATTATTTTGTGAATTGGTTCTTCTGTATATTTTCTAAGGCTACTTTTCACCATCTAAAAGCTCAATAGCCAATAGGAATGTCAACCACAGTAATTCATTCGTTTGTTAAGAAACAACTTGGGTTGTTAGCTATATATAGAATCCTTCGACAGTCAGTACCCATTAGTTTCTTGTTAGTTATAGTCAGAATATCCAGCCTTAAAAATTTCTATAATTTATAAGTTTAATAATTCCATTTTTAAAAATTCTATGAACCAATATAGTGAAAATTGGCAAGTTATCTTTGGCTAGATTTCTTCTCATTTACATATTTATTCTATGATGACTATGATCTGTTTATAAATAACAAAATATTCCATATCGATTGAGCACCCTATGTAGTAGCCCCATATCACTGCAATCATCGTCTTATTGTTAAAAAAGTTCACACCCTTTTAGGCTTTGCATAATCTATTGAATTTTTCAAGTTTATTTACTCTATCTCTTTCTTGTCATGTTTAGTTTAAGTAGTCTTTAACTTAAACTTTAGATGGATGATTTCATCGCAATTATATTAGGCTTTGTATACTTTTAATATATAAACTAACTTATATTCCATTTAGCTTGAGAACTAGTTAAATTGGCGCCCAATAAACAAAAGAGCTAAAAACAAATTGGTAAAAATGGAGTATATATCTGGATATTCAATAAATATGAGTAGTAAGTTTTGAAAATTTTAAATATATGATATATGGTTCTTCTATAAAATATAACTTTATAATTCTATTCTTAAAAGATTTATGAATCAATTGTTAAAATAGTTTAACTGTTTAATAGTTTAATTGTTCAAAAAGACAGTTTTAATAGATTTATGTTTGATAGTTTCAATTGTTAAAATGATATCTTTGAGCTATGGAATTACCTACTAATAGGATAGTTATTTTATTTTGAACAACCTTTTTGATTAATTTCTCCTTTTTACTAACAAATATGTAGCTCTTGCAGTAATTACAGAAAAGAAAGGAATATTCTTGAACGTCATGGACAATCTTAGAAATAAAAGATGGATGTATTGTGATAGAGTTAGTATAGAATATTTGGATGGAGTAGAGGATTTTTTAAATCATGCCTTTTCTGGAAAACAACCTGGAGAAATATTGCATGTCCTTGTACGGAGTGTGTGATTATCCATCAAGTAAATCGGGCTACATCATATGATCATCTTGTGGTTAATGGTATTATACCGTCATATGATACTTTGTTTTGTCATGGGGAGTCTCTAACGAGATCAAATAATGCTGGAGAAAATAACTGCAACCAGTTAACTCTAAGGGCGACGATATGTGAGGAATGATACATGATGCATTTGGAGGTGTTACACAGTTTATAGATACTGAGATTAATTACCTGATCACGTGTATTGCTTGTCCAAAAATCACAGCATTGTCTGCCCACCTGTATTTTCATGTTGTTGAATTTCAAGCTTCTTAGTATCCATCCTTGCATTCTGTTAGAATACCATGTAAAGATCTTTTAATTTGATTTCTTGAGCTTCCTATTGCGGCCTAACAGTAGTCATGTTCCAGTGCTCTTAATTACTTTCCCTTAATTAATACTCAAGATTGTTAAACTCTATCTTAATTACATTTTAATTCCTTATATTTTCTTGCAAGTTTTTTTTATCCTGTTATTTTGGTGTTGTGGAGATACTTTGATCAGATGGAGTTTGAAGATATATATTGTACCTATGTATTGGTAAAATGGTAAGCCTTTCACTTGCCAATTTGAAGTTCCTTAATTTTGTTGATATGGCATTTTTAAGTTTATGTTACCGACTGTTCTTTGAGTTGAGAGTTTGCTTTACATTTTATTTTTATTCCCCACCTTTTCTATTATGTATTGTCGACTTTGTAGAAGTTATTATTTTAATTGCTCATAAGTGCAAAGTAAATAATTCTTCTAGTATGTGCAAAGTAAATAGTTGTTCTAGCTATTGTACTATCTAACGTTCTGTTCTCATTTTCATTCTAGGTAATTCAGAAGCAAAAAAATTCGTGGGCCTACTTTATTGAAAGATATTTGGAAACTTCCGATGGGGAAGATAATTGATGTGCTGTTTAATAATCGTAACCAAGCCATTGGGAAAGAGGGTCGAAAGCTTGCTAGCTTTCTAGGAATTATTGCCAGAACTCCAGAACTAACACCGTTACATATAGATAATTGGAGAAAGTTTAACAACAAAGAAAAGAAGAAATTGGTGGATTTTGCCAGGGTATGGAATAGCTATTATTAATGTTATTATTATTATTATTATTATTATTATTATTATTATTATTATTTTTATTATTATTATTATTATTATTATTTTGTGAACATCTTTAATCTTTTATACATGATGTTATCTTCTAAATATTGGCTTATATTTTTGTAGAAGAAGTTCTCTATCCCAAAATGTGGAGAAGCGTGGGTCTTAAAGTCACTAGGAAAGAAATGAAAAGATTACAAGTGCAATTTAAAGGGTGAATATGCGCAAAAATATAAGACTAAAGACGCTTTACTAAAAAATAGACCAAGTCGTATACCGAGGGATCAATGGAGTGATCTTGTCTCTTATTGGCTCTCTGATAAAGCTAAGGTATCAACCTTGAAAATTCTCCTAGTCTGCACATTTTTAAAGCGTTTTGATTTTAGGTATGCTCAATTTTTGTTTAAAATTTATAAGATATCATTTTAATATTTCAATGACAGAGACGTACGCAAGCAAATAGAAACAATAGGGCCAAGCAAACGATGCCTCATACAGGAGGATCAAAAAGTATTGCCACCTTGATGAATGAGCAGGTGAACCTGTGAAAACTACAAACTATAATATTTTAAGCTTTTCTTGTTATGCATATATGATATCATTTTTATTGTGTTAGGCTGTAAACGGGATAGTGCCTACACGAGCAGAAATTGTACTATTAACTCATAAAAAAGTAAGGATGGTAGGCCACCGGATGATGATTCTATCAAGACAATCGTAAGATTTATTCTTTTTTTTTTGTGGTTTGATGACTACGTCAAACAATATGTATTTTTTCCTATTCATGAATTCCAAAATAGATTTATTATGTATTCTATGGTCAGGAAATGATAAATGAAAGGATGAGCAATAGTGAGAGATCTACTGAGCAACCTCCTTGTAGCGTTGCTTGGGAAGGCGTGTGTATTCCCAGGTGTTGGGAAATGAAAAAAGTGAGTATGTTTGTGGTTTAGGACTTGGTCCAACTCCTTCTGTTCTGTGGGGTAGTAGGTCTTCCTTAGGAAATATTGTTGTAGATGATTCTTCTAATGAGGTTATACAAAGGTTACAACAACAGATGATCGAGTTAAAGAAGAAACGAAATGAAGAAATGAATATTATGAAACAAAATCAGGAGAATATGCAATCAGAATTACTCCATATGAGACAATTAATGTGCAATTATGCTCCTAATGCATCTATGCCTCAAAGTAGCAATGACACCTTAGGTGAACAGGTAACTCCATTTCATAAACTTTAGATATTTTAAATGAAATTATAATCATATAAAAGTATTGTTATCTAACATGTTAATATTTATTAGATTCCCGATGCCAATAGTGGACATGAATGAGTACCACAAACATCAAGAATGCATAGTGCTGCTGAAAATGCTCAACCTTCTCATGGTACTACTCATCTTTGTCCTTCGTCACTATTGTTTGAGTTTTCCTCCTTCGATTTTTATTAATTTGTTGTTGTATTTGGGCTTATAATTCATGTCACATGCATTTTGTTCATAGAACAGTGGAAGAGTCAATTCCCTAACTAATTCTATTACTCATTAGACTGTTTCATGCTTCAGTAGGTAGTTGTTGAGTTCAGTCTATTTAATTCTTCAGCAAATATTTCTTAATTTGCACCACTACAGTATCTTAGTAAAGTGTGGATTGTTTTGAGTTCGGCAATTAATCTCCAAGTGTTTGAACTAAGTTTGGCTACCAGCTATGCACCAGTCTTGTACCAGCTTTCTTGAACCAGTTTGGAACTACTTTTTCAACTTTCTACTAGAGGCATTTTGCTGTAGTAATTGTGAGTTTGTTTTCTACTTTTAGTTAGGGAAAGGGTGTTGTAGAGTATGTCTTCTGTTATCAATTTTCTTCTCTTTCCTCCCTCTTAATTTGATTACTTTACAGATCCTATGAGTGACATGATAACATGCTAGATTAAAGCATTTTCGTGTATTGTCCCTTGGAACAAGAACAATATTAATGGTCATTCTGATTTATTGACTCAATAGGCCACAACTTATTCTGTAGATTTAGATTGACAAAACACGTGGGTGAAGAGTTTACTAAAAAGATATACACGTGGGTAAAGAGTTTGACAATTTGATTTCATTCTTATTTGTTTAGTTGTTTGCTGCCATATAACGAGCAATAAACACTTAAGAGTACAAATTAGGTGAGCTATTAGACAGTACATGTAAGTTATGCAATTATCCCTTTCGAAGAACAACTTCCTCTCATGTTCAATAGAAATAGCACAAGCTTTTCAACTTCCAGGGCCACCTTCGTAGGATCTTCTTCATCTTCTTTGGTGAATCAGTCTTGTTTAATTTCCGTCCCAAAAGCTACCAGCTACTCTATTTCTAGCTTTGCTCGTATGACTCCTCAAAAAGTTGATATGTCATTCTTAAAGATGATAGTGAGTTATCTACCGTGTTTGCCGTATGTTGTGGAAGTTGCCGGGGTTGTTGGTAATTTACTGGGAAAATAGGTTGGGGCAGAGATCCATTTGGTTGACATATTTGGAAAAAGAAATTGCTTTAGCATGTCAGATAGTGTCATATAAAAGGAAGCCTATGAATTACTACTATACCTCAGCCTATAAGTGCAAGCTTTACTTCATTAGAAAAAGAAAATTCCAAAAGAAGTCCATAAATAGAAAATTCATATTTCAGAAGTGTAATTTATACAATGAGACATCAGCAAGAAAACAAACTAAATTGATTCTGGTGATGAAACATGATAGCCTTTTAGATATTAGAACTATAAGAAGAGTACTGTTTCCTTAGAATGGCAAGGAAGAAATACGAGCTCTTCTAAAACTGACACTACACAACTGAACAGTTTAAGAGTGCTCAGACACTGCACAAATGGTTTGCTCATATGAATTAATATCACAAAGTGTCAGCTAGATAGGGCCTCTGTTTGCTGAATTCAATTTTTGTTTCTATTGGAAGTTTCTTCCCAGTTTTTGCAGCTTCTGAAAAGCCTAATGTTCAGCTGTTTGTGATCAAGATTTGAGTAGTATTTGACAGCAATTTTCCACAACTTGAAGCTGAAATTTCTGCACATTTTGGGCTGACCAAAACTATAAAGGAATTTTGGCTTCTTGCTTGCTTTGACAATAAAACTTTCTGCACTTTTGTGGCTACTCCGGGAAGTTAATAACTATAAGTCTGTTCTATTCTGCATTGTTTAAAGTTTATAGCAAACTGGTTTGTTGAGCTACAGTTTGGGACTCATTTATTTGGTTCTTGTATAGTTGCTTCAGTTGCATGACTTAGCTAAATGGTTTAAGAGTGCTCGGACATTGCACAATTGGTTTGCTCATATGATTTCCAAATTTTCCCAAATGTTCTTAGGTTCTTCTCCTTCTGAATCTGAGTATCTCGGTGGAGTGATGAGATATCTGGCAGTGAACATTTAGCTTTCGAGTTAAGATCTTCCTTTCATGTGGTGCTCCACATGTCGTGTAAATGCCCTCATCCTGAATTCTCAATCTGTGATCTTCTTTTAGAAATTCTAATCCTTAGATTAGGAGTTTGACTTGTCGAGGTTTAGTAGCTCCTTCCAGCACTAGGAATCTGTGAGAAAGAATAAAATTCATTTGTTCCAGCAAAAGAAAATGCACTGGTAGCTATAAAATCTACACTGTTAGCTATAACACTAGTCTCTTATTTCAGCACTTCATGTATATACTTTATCCTTTAACACAATTATTTTATAATTTCAGGTCATACAGTCTGATGTTCGATGATTTAGCGGTTGGAAGATTTCAAAATGATGAAAAGTTGCGGAAATCATTTGAAGACCATCATTCTGGATTATTACAATGATGACATTGCTATTTAGTCCAAACAATATATTTTTATGTGTTAAGTTACTGTGATATTAACATTTTTGATTACTACTTTCTTTTGTTTGTTAAGATTTTATGAGATATATTATGTTTTTTAATTAATATTAATATATTTTATTATTTGGGTCATATTCTATACAAATGTAGTAACTATATATTATTAATTGTGGCCAAATTATGGCTATTATCGCTTATGGCTTTTAAAGCTATTGATTATTAGCGGCAATTTAGTTAAACATATTAGCTATTAAAATGGACTCTAAAGGGCAAACTAAGATGTTTAAGAAGGAATAGTATTGCCTTTTTAATTGCAATAGAATAATTTCCATTAAAGATGTGAACTTTTAGTGAAAACTATTTTGAATTTAGCGGCTATAAAAATGGATGGTAAAAAAGTATAACTAGCCGTTTGGATTGGATTTAGTAGCCATTATAATTGCCACAAACAATTGCTGTTAAAGATGCGAACTTTTAGAGGCAATTATTTTGAAGTTAGCGGCTATAAGAATGGATGGTAAAGAAGAATAATTAGCCATTTGGATTGGATTTAGTGGCCACGATAATTGCCGCAAATAATTGCCGTTAGAGATGCGAACCTTTATCGGCAATTAGTTTGAATTTAGCGGCTATAAAAATAGATGCTAAAGAGGTATAGTTGACCGTTTTGGATTGGATTTAGTAGGCATTATAATTGCCGCAAACAATTGCCATTAAAGATAATAATTTTTAGCGGCAATAAACCATACCCTTTACCAGCTTTTGCGAGAAAAGCCGCTAAAGGCTTTGCCGACCCCAACATCAGCGGCAAAACCCTAATGGCTGGTAAAAGATTTAGTGGCTATTGTTATTGCCGCTAAAGCCGTTTTGTATTGCCGCTAAAGGTCTTTTTGTAGTAGTGCTACCAGGCCAAACGAGATTCCAGTAGACTTTTGGAGGTGTGTGGGTAGAGCAAGTTTGGAGTAGCTAACTAGGTTGTTTAATATTATTTTCAGGACAAAGAGGATGTCGGATGAGTGGAGGTGGAGTATGGTGGTTCTGTTGTACAAGAACAAAGGTGATATCCAAATTTACAACAACCATGGGGGTATCAAATTGCTAAGTCATACCATAAAAGTTTGGGAAAGGGTGGTAGAAGCTAGAGTGAGGAGGACAGTGTCTATATCTGACAACTAGTTCGGGTTCATGCCGGGCCATTCTACTACGGAAACTATCCATCTTATTAGGAGGTTAGTGGAACAGCACAGTGATAGGAAGAATGATCTGCACATGGTGTTTATTGATCTAGAGAAAATGTATGACAAGGTTCCTAGAGAGGTTCTTTGGAGATGCCTTGAGGCTAAAGGTGTGTGGGTTGCTTACATTAGGGCGATTAAATACATGTATGATGGAGTTAAGACTTGGGTTAGGATAGTGGGAGGTGACTCTGAACATTTTCTAACTGTTATGGGGTTACACCAAGGATCTGCGCTCAACCTGTTCTTATTATTAATTTAGAGAAAACATATGACAAGGTTCCTGGAGAGGTTATTTGGAGATGTGTAGAGGCTAAAGGTGTATCGGTTGCTTACATTAGGGTGATTAAAGACATGTATGATGAAGCTAAAACTCAGGTTAGGATAGTGAGAGGTGACTTTGAGCATTTTTCGGTCGTTACGGGTTACACCAAGGATCTGCGCTCAATCTGTTCTTATTCGCTCAACCTATCTTTTATCTCTCAACAGCTAGGTTTCAATTGATTTTCCTTTTTCTGTGCAAAAATTATCTGAAAAACAACGTAAATCATGTGTTGATGGGTGAGGTTGGTTGAGCGTGAGAGCTTATTTCTTTGCATGAAAAATGGGGAAGTATGAGTACCCATGGCTTTGTTAACATAGAAGTGATTTTGTGTGCTTCCTATGTGATCGATAAAAGGACCAAATGAGATTCTTGTCCAAATAATTGAAATTTTTTCAATTCGTGGTTGTGTGTGAAGTCTATTGCATGATTTTATGCTTAAAACTTGATTGGGTTATCTAAAAGTGTGCTTTTGTTCGAAATTTTTTGGGGCTTGTGCATGTTCTCTGAGAGAAGATTGGCTGGGGACGACGAGATCGCAATTGAGATAACCTCTTCGCATTTGCGAGCTTTGCATTTTCGAAGTGGTAGTCACAATTGGGAAAACTCTCAGGCATGGCAACTTTTGCATTTTGCGAAGATGAGCTCACAATTGCGAACAGTGACAATTCCTGTTGCCTTCGCAATTTGTGAAGAATTCATTGCAATTGAGAACTCTTGGGTTTCCTATTGCCTTCGCAACTGCGATGAAAATGTCGTAATTGCGATATCAGAGAGTTGTGCTTTACAAATTTGAAAATCTGAAATTTTTTCTAAGGCTGGGTTTCGACTATCCAATCATTTCTTGACCATATTTGAATCATTTTGCAATGCTTTTCATAGCCATACCATGTTCACTCCAATCCTTCGTTTAAAGGTACTGTAAGCTAAAAATGAGCTCTAACTCCGATGAATCCGCGAACGACAACCCATTGGAAGTGGAGAACTATGACCAACACTGGTTCTTGTCATTATAATGCCAGGACCAGTACTATGCTGAGCTGATTTCTAAGAAAGTGCTACCGGAAAGGGGTATAGCGCTGGATAAGGTCCCGGAACATCTTCCCGAGTTCCATCAGAGGCTTGTAGACATGGGATGGACTTGTTTTACCCCTCAACCTTGTAGAGCCAATGAGAAATAGGTGAGGGATTTTATTCTAATCTTCCATCCATCCGATAAAAAAAGTCAAAAATGAGGATTCGCAGAAAAATTGTGCATTTCGGAGCTGAAGCTGTGAACCAAATCTATCACTTACATGACCATGACATCGCCCCATTCCGTGCAAAAGATTGTGCCTCAGGCCAGTGGTTGGTCTCCAAATTGTGCTGGGATGTGGATGTTCCATGGGCAGCTGAAAAGAGAGGAATCACGTCCAAAGAATTCACTGCCGAAGCAAATGATAGCCTCTATTCTTGATTTACCAATAACGAGAGCTCAAATGATAGCCTCCATTCTTGATGGTATTCGACTCAAAGTTGGTGAGATTTTCATAAGTGAACTGAAGGAGTATCTGACTCTTGGGGGTCAATCACTGATGTTCCCATCTCTCATCACTAAGCTATGCCAACTTGCTGGAGTTCAAGAGGCTTTGGGAGACAACTGGATAGATCCGGAAAAGAGGAGAGAGTCGCGCCGTCAAGAGGAAAAAGTGAAAGTTGGGATCTTCTTCTTAGACCGATCAGGGTAGCCAGCCATCATCTTCTGCAGGAGAACCATTTTCTATGCTTTCTAAGGAAATACGGCTGATTCGCGACCTAGTAGCTGGCCTTCCACAGGGACCTGGGGAAAACATTTGAGGGACCCTCTGCATACATTTCAAAGAAAGAATTTCAAAAGTATCTTGATGATCAGAAGAAGCAGGGGGGTCACCTTAAGCAGCTGGAGAAGACATATACTGATTTGGCCACGACGCACGGTACTTTGAGTACTTCTCATGACAATTGTTGATACCCAATTTTTTTATATATATTTTAATATTCAAAATACTTTCAAAATAGCATATTTATGCATATATAAGTGTGTCCAAATATTTTATTATTTTTTCTTAATTTTTAAAGATTTTAAGCCAATTTATTCCCCTATTTTATTCATAAAAACCCAATAATAATTTCCAAAATTATCATTTTGGTGATTCATTTATTGTATTCTTATATTTATACAAAAATATAGCTAAGATATATTTTGCATATTTTTTACAAATTTATTTAGTATTTTTAAAGCTAAATTGCATATAATTGCAATATTAGCCCCTTTTAAGATTTAATTGCGTTTGTATTTATAAAAATTAAGTCCAGTATTTTTAAATTGATAATTATGTGTTAAAAAATCATTTTAGTACTTTCAATTTATTTTCAGAATTTAATTTACTATTTTTTATAAAATAAATGGGAAAAATGGCTATTTAAAATCCAACCAGATTTCATTTCAATTGTGGCCTAATTTTACCTCAATTGAACCCTGACCCAATTTCAATTTAAACCGATCCAAACCCAGTTTCTTTAAACCACCTACTTACCTATTTTAATCGGGGTCGTTGATCATTCAGATCAACGGCCAATAATTGCTCGAAGCTTCTTTAACTTTGCTTTTAAAAAAAAGACTCTTCATCTTTTCCGATTAGGGTTTTTTCCTTCAAGTTTTCTTTTCAAAATCTTTTTCTCTGATTTTAATGTGTCTGTGGTTTTACTATGTTTTGTTCATGTTATTCTCCTATCTGCGTTAGCATTGAAAACCCTAGTTACTTTGGGTTCATTCGAGTTCTAAAACTGTTTGTTGGATAAGTGTTTGTCTAGTTAAGTTCTTGTTCGATTTATTTGATTATCATCTTTTAAGCTTGATTATTGTTGAAGGAACCTATGTCTTTGAGTTTGAAACTGTTCATTTGGATACCTGACTCGACTTGAGATTCCTTGTTTCTGAATCTCTTTTCTTTATGTGATTCCTCTAATTCTGGATTTTTACTATCTTTAAAACTCGACTATGCCTGAAACCCTAACTTTTTAAAGGGTTTCTCATCTATTACTATGAGACCCTTTGCATGCTTCCGATATTCTATTTTTTCTTCACTGTTGATTCAATGTGACTCGACCTACTGGATTATCATGCTTCGAATGTTTGCTATTTACTGAACTTTGTGCTACTATTGCATGCTGTTTCTTTTGCCAACAGGTTTGGCTTCACATGTCTAGTGTTTGTGCACTCTATTTATATGCTGAGGTTCCTTCTTTGATTGATCTTCAATCTTGGGGCTGATTTCAAACTTTTCTTTTGTGGAACTCTAATTTCACTAGCCTGTTAAAGTTAATTGATTCTTTCCTTATTTTGCTTTACTGAATCTTTTTCCCGAGATAAGTGTATTTC